GGAGTCATGTCCTCCAAGGGTCCTCCTAAATCACTTCTGCTCGGAGTGATTTATCTCTTTGCGCTCACTCCCACAGAGTCAACTGCTGCCTCAAGACTGAAAGGAAGCATGTTGCGCAAAAGGGCAGGTCTCTCGCTAAACATCTCCCAAGGGGAGACGAGAGAGAGAGAGAGAGACCGTGACCACACCTGCTAGACATTTCTTTGCCATCGCTGCGTATGAGGCTGTCCTGACACAGTTTGTTTGTCTCTGTGTGGAGGGTGCTTCAGCTGGAGCAGAATGCAGCCACTCACCAAGGAATGGCCCAAAATGCTGGGCAAGACCATCCCAACTATTAGGCAAAATGAGGCAGTTGCCTCAGGCAGCTGATACCGGTTGGCAGGCAATGGCAGTGAGGTCTCAGAGGACAAAGCTGTGTGCCCTGTGCCCCTAAGCTAGCATTATCGCTCATGGCCGTGGTGGAGGAGACTGCCCCATCGCCAACATTGACGGTAAATGTAAACTCCAGTTCAGCAGGCTCCTCTTCATCTTGTTCTTTGCCCCAAGCAACAAGATATCTTGGTCCAGACCTGATGCTAGCTTAAAATCGTAATCATAATAGTCCAAACTATAGCTGTTCTCCAGAGTGAAGCAGCTAGGTAGTTTTAGACTTTTGTACTTCATAGTCTTTTGGGGATCCCCTCTTTTGATGGTCTTGAATTCGCCTAAGTGAATTAATATTAAGTGGATATTAATATTAAGTGAATATTAAGTGAAATTAATATTCATTTACGTAAAGATGTGATATGCCAACCCTCCTGCATTGGCAGGGAAACACTCGTGCCCATTCTGCCCAGTGGGAGCCAAGGCATCTGTCCTCAAAGTCTTATACTGACAGCACCACTGGGGGAAAACTTACCAGAGGAAAACATGGTTATATAGGTAATAACGAAACACAATTGCAGTTGGCAAACCCTGCCCAGTTGTTCAGCAGGTAGGAAAGGTATTATCAGAGGGCTCTTGGAAGGTTTCCTGTGCTGCCAGTTTGGCATGAGGCTTTGGAGGCAGATGCATAGCAGCTGCCCATTCAGACGTGCCCAGATGATGGCCGTACAGCTAGCATGCAGGTATGCCAAACATCACAGGTTCTCCATCACCCCTGGACCCAGAAATCTGATGTCAGTGTCTAGGAATTTGAAGCCATTATTCAGCCCTATACAGCACTGGCAGTTATAATTGGGTCTGAGCTGAATGTTGCACTCAACAAGCATTTTCATTGCAGAAAGCGGGGGCAATGTAAGCTTTCATGAAAGCCCCCACCTTGTCTACCTCTCCTTCACTGTATTTTGTTGTCTGTGCTCCTCATCACTGCTTGGTACCCTCCCGCTTTCTTTGGTTGTACCAGAGTGAGGGCAGCTGCCTTCATTCAGATTTGGCTTTGTGATACTTTGGTTACCAGTTCATTTCTGAGCCCATTTCAAGGTGCTCACGTTAAAAGCCCTGAACGATTCTGGCCCCAAATATCTGAAAGACTGCCTCCAGTCCTACAGACCTTCTCCAGCATTAAGATTGACAGAGGGGGGAACTTGTGGCAGTTCTGGTGCCCTCAGAGGTTCAGGGCGGCAGCAGCAAAGGAACGGGCCTTCTCTGTGGCAGCTCCTAAAGTTGTAGAACTCCTTCCCCACAGAGGTGCATCTGAAAACTTAACTATACAGTTCATGGACAGTGTTGAAGAAGTAACTCTTTGGATCTGTTGTATATTTTTACAGCCCACCCTATTTTTGTAAATAATAACAAGCAGGAACAGTTCATGCTATTGTACTGTTCCTGGCATGCCCTGGTTCAAGATTTCACCGTGATTTCGTACAGCATCCGTTTCTGAACTTATTTTCAGGGAGTCCTGCTGAGGAATTCTTCTTGGCTACCAGGGATGCCAACTTGAATAAAATATGGTGGGGAGAGAAGGGCAGGTGAGGCCTGCCCCACATAATCAACTACATTGGCATGACACAAACACACCATTTGAATGGCAATGCCCATCAACTTTGGGCAATGCCCATCTTTCATTGGGCAGGGACGAAAGGACCTTGGCCCCTAAGAGTCGGCTCTTATGACTGCTACAGAAGATTCCGGGGTGCCTTCTGGAGCTGTACACCTGTGTCTCCATGGGAGATTTCGGCCTGGTCCCAGGTGCACAGGCAAAGCCCACGTCTGTACAACTGTACGTTTGAGAGCCATGTGTATCTGTGCATGCAACTGGCTACCCTATCTGTATTCATCTCCCCCCCCCAACACACACACAATGTGTGAAGAATCCTTATTAAGGCTAAGCTAGGTATTATGTGAGAGACTTATGAATAGGATATTCTGCATTTTTACAGTGTTAATAGCAGCTTCTGCTGCCCCCGGGTCCTGTGTATTCAAAACAGGCCTGTGCTACTAACATTTTCACATGCATTATTTTCTGGTTTAAAATTGCTCTCCCCAAAGCTATTTGTCCTGAGGGGCAAAACACACGGGAGAGGTATGTTTTACAGGTACTCCCCTTGCCCATGGGAAAGGAGTAGCTTCAGGTGGGGGATATTTTTAACTGGGAAATCAATTCAGGGCGAAAAGCTTACCCCCCCTCGCCGCCAGCATTGTGGCCTCAATCCAAATTCCACCCACCACCTGCTTCCAGCAGCACTTTAAAATGCAGAAGATTCTGTTCACAGACCTCAAAAGTCTTGTATCGTTTGAGACAGTTGATGCCTGGTGGATATTTGAAAAATGGCATCCGTTTGGGTGCCTGTGCCTTTCTATCCATGCCCAGCTAAGCTAAGAGCCAAAGCAGGTGTTTGGTGCACACAATGGATACGATACGATACGATAATCTTTATTGTCATTGTCCCATACAGAACAACGAAATTGAAAAAATCTACATTAGACATAACAAAAACCAACAAGCCTGCTATCCCAGCTATCCCAGCCTGATTGACCCCCTCAAAACTCTGATACCCCATTTTTAAATACAATATACTCCCATAGAGACTACCTTACACTGCATTTAAAACCAAAAACGCATTTGGATAGAAACTGTTTCTCAGGTGGCTAGTCCTAGTCTTTATAACCCTGTACCTTCTTCCAGAAGGCAGAAGCTGAAAGAGATCATTTCCGGGGTCTGCACTATCCTGCACTATCTCTGCAGCTTTCTTATGGCACCTGGAAGCATAGATTTGATCCAAGGTGGGAAGAGTGCACCCAATTATTCTCTCCGCAGTCTTTACAACCCTGGACAGCATTGTTTTTCCCCTGACTGTGCAGCTCCCAAACCACACACACAGACCATAAGTTAATACACTCTCCACAGTACAATGGTAAAACGCAATCAAAATGGAGTCTGGGAACTCGGGGTGCTCTGCTGAACAATGACAAGGCTTCAGGGGTAAAGCACAATTTGAAGAGAGAAGTAGCAGGTGGAGCAAGGGTGTTTAACCCTCCCTGTTAAACAGAAGCTTTTCTCCCTGCAAAATGCATCCGGGAACCACAACTGGGGGGAAAGGACTGGGTGAGGGAAGAACCAGTGGTGAGGCTTAATCACCCTTCCTACTCCTGGTGTCTTCCCTTCCAAATAGCGCCAGTGCCTTTTGCCGAATGCCTAGCTGGTCCTCAGGTGAGTGGGGCAGCTTGTCAGTTTGCAGCCATAGAGGGATGGCTGTGGTTCATTTCCAAGCAGAGTAGAGATCTCTGCACGGGAGGAATTAAACGGGGAGCAGTGTTGGCATCCACCAGGCCAGCCCCGTTGGCGCAATCTGCCCATCTGCAGGAGATGTGGGAAGTTCAAGCTGCCATCACTCCAAGAACAGGCTCCTTTTCAGGTGGCAGGAAACGTTTGCCATTGTGAGCGTGGGGTGGGGAGGGGAAGGGCCCATCAATGGCGAGGGTCAGCCCAATGGCTTCAAAGCTTCCTGTTTCTCTCGGCGGTTCCAATTGCTCGTTGATCTGCCAAGAACAGCAGAGGTTCTGTTGTGCCCCCGAGCTCCAGATGGCTTTTAAGTCATAACTGTGCTTCCTTGCTCAGGAGCTCAGGTTACCTCTCCTCAATCCAGGGATCCCTTCTCTCTCTCCCCACCCCCCCATACCCCCACCCTATGAATGGTCCCTTCCCCTCCCCCCTCTCTGTTTGCTCCATCAGCCTTTTCTGATTGGCTGCAATTACCCTGATTGCAAAGGATAACTGAACGGCATCAGCTTCACTCCCCATCTTAGAGGAAGGTACCAATCAATGGCGGGATTCCCCCAGGAGGCCGTGTTACTCTATACGTTTGTCATTCAAAGCTTGAGCTAGAGGGGCAAAATATCCGCACACTCTGAGGCTGTTCGAGGAACAAGAATGCAGATGCTCAAAGCACCTTTGATCAGACCCTTCAGGTTCAAATCCCTCTCCCCCTCCACTCTTTGCCTTGCAGTCTCATTTGCTGCTCAGTGCAGAAAACCTGGACCAAGGTACAGTGGTACCTCTGGTTACGTACTTAATTCGTTCCAGAGGTCCGTTCTTAACCTGAATATGTTCTTAACCTGAAGCACCACTTTAGCTAATGGGGCCTCCTGCTGCTGCCATGCCGCCGGAGCACAATTTCTGTTCTCATCCTGAAGCAAAGTTCTTAACCCGAGGTACTATTTCTGGGTTAGCGGGGTCTGTAACCTGAAGCGTGTGTAACCTGAAGCGTATGTAATCCGAGGTACCACTGTACAGATGTGGCTCGTGGTTCTTTTTAAAAGGGATATACTACGTCTCTGATGCAACTAGTACTTTTTTAGTTTTTAATCTGGGTTGGCGGTATGCAAGGCCCTGGGTTGAATAGCGTCTTATTATAGAGATGGAAGCAACCCTCAATCTGAGCACGTAACCACGGAAAGTCATCCATGTTGTGGCCTTCTCCAGATCAACTGATATTACCCGGCAGTGGACAGGGCAAAGCAGCAAGCACTGAATGCAAGGCTGGTCCAAGACCTTTTGCTGCCTGAGGCAAAGGACAAAATAACACACAAGCTCAGTCAGTAGAGCATGAGACTCTTAATCTCAGGGTTGTGGGTTCAAGCCCCACATTGGGCAAAAGATTCCTGCATTTCAGGAGATTGGACTAGGTGACCCTCGTGGTCTCTTCCAACTCTATAATTCTGTGATTCAGTACGTACACAGAGCTACTGAAGCTGAGGGTGCTGAAGGGTCCAGCCTGACAATAAAAATGGTCCAGACTCATAAATATGATTCAAAAGCTCTACTAGCAGAACTTGTTCCAAACAGGTACAAAACCAAATTATGATACATCCAACTAGTTGAATAGCATCAAGTGCAAGTCCAGCACAGGTTTCATCTTCTTACAAAATTGAAACAGACCTAAAATCAGAGGTCTCTCTCTCTCTCTCTCTCTCTCTCTCTCTCTCTCTCCTCACTCCATTAGCATGGAGCTGTTTTTCTTCCTTCAGGAGAGTCCTCATTAGCACATCACTTGTTCTCTGTGGCTTCCAGAGAAAGGCAGATCCCTTCAAAATGGAGATTTGTAAGCTTCATTAACTTGGGACCCTGAAATTCCAGATCTGGATCCAGAATTTTGGGGTCACATGTTAATGGAGCTAGATTTGCAAATGAATAAACCTCTCATGTGATCTAAAGTTAAACAGCACGTGAGAGAGCAGAGAACATCCTAAGTTAATTATCAAACCATTGGGTACCTAGAGAGCACTTCTTAGCTTCAATGGAATTTTCCATGCTAAACCTTCAGCAATACACATCCAAACACATACAGAGTTATTTTCCATTTCAGTGGCAATTAAACATTTAGACTTAACAGAACTGGGACTGAATTGTCCCTGAAATGGAACCAACATGATGCACTGCCCGTGTCTGCGTTACACCGGTGGGACAATGGTGGGAACCTCAGGGCTGGGAACCATCTCTCCCCAGGCCACACCTCAGTGGTCCCTTTTAACAGGTTGGAAAGTGCCCTTGAACTCTTAATTGTGCTTCTTCTTTGCTTGAATGAAGAGAGGTATGCGCGTGTTATAGAAAAACCTCTAACTTTTCAATTGCTGGAATTCAGCCTACTTACTGAACAAAGGTTAAGAGTCGAATCCATTGCCCCCCCTTGTGTGTTTTTAATATAAAATAGATATAGTTTTTATTGATTTCCAATATATAACTAAAGGGGGGGGGATACAAAAACAAAATCTCAACATACCTCCTTCCCCTTTCCAGGACAGATCAATCTAGTTACTATACTTTTCCGTGTATAAGACTAGGTTTTTCCCCCCTCGAAAATAATGTTTAAAAAGTGGGGGGTAGTTCTTATACATGAGTAGTGCATATGGGGGACGGGCGATTGGTTGGAGCTTGTCAGTGGCGATTGGTTGGGAGAATGGTGTCTGCTGCAAGGGATGCAGTTGATTGGCTGCCGAAGGGCCAATTGGTTGCTTCTTCTGCATATTTGATTTGAAGCGTTTGTTATCTGGGTGAGCTGTTTTTGGCGCCCCACCCAAAAAAATACCTCAGTAACTCTGGGCATTTCTGCTCAAAATCTCAACAACTTTGGGGGAAATCTTCCCTCTAAAAAGCTCAGCAACTCTGTGCCATCTCCCTCCATTTTCTTAAATTCTAGTCCCCCAAAATAGGGGTCGTGTTATATGGTAAGTTTGCTGAAGTCCAATCTGTGATTTCAGTGGGTGCCATTCTCCAAGATTATCAGTAAAGTATTTTATAAAAGGATGCCATATTTCAACAAAATGGTTTACATCATTTGTATTATTCCATGCATGTCTCTGTTGATTTTCCTGATATGGCAATTGACTGTACATTCTGTTTCTAACAAGAGATACACACATGTTTCAATCTGTGCCACCAGTAGGTGTTCTGCTACTAAAAGAAAAGTAATTATGTCTTTATATTAAAAAAAGAGCTCAAATTGCCCTTCTTTAAAAATGGTTAACAATCCCAGACTAGGGATTCCACATGCTGACCCGTAATATAGCTTATTTCTGTAAATACCATCTGCCAGAAGGGCTTTATATGTCCAGACGTCCACCACATGTGAAATGTTGTATCTATGCTATTGAAGCCTCAATGATGGGATGTTTCTTATTAATATAACTACACCGTAATGGTGTCAAATGCCATCAGTGTAATAATTTGAATGTATTTTCTTGTATATGAGTGGATACTGATTTTAGTGGGGGTTTTAGGTCACAAATTATTCCAATCTAGCTCCGCAATCTCTATCCCTAGATCAGATTCCCTTTACTGTTGCAGTAGGTTGCTCACGAGTTAATTCAGCCCTTAGGCTGAAAAAAATGTTCCCTGCCTGTGCCTTAAAAACACTTGCAGGGTCTCCTAGATCTGCAAACAGCTGCTGTAAAATCTTGGGTCTAACCCCAGCCTTCTCCAACCCCTCCAGATGTTCTGGACCAGATGTTTTCAGCTGGATGGACCAAGTGTCTGGCTTGATAGAAGTCAGGTCCCTATGCAGCTGTGAGCTGTATATACCCACCAGAAAAATTAAAGCATACTTAAAGCACATTTCCCGGTCAAAGGGTCCTGGGAATTGTAGCTCTATGAAGGGTGAACTACAGTTCCCATGATTGGGGGGGGGCGGCTTTTAACTGTGTAGTGCGTACACAGTCTGAGGCTGACATGATTAACACATGTATCTGTTAATGCACATTATTTTATTGCGATGTTAGAATTCAAAGCATGAAAAGAAGCAAAGCAATAAAAGGACATTCGCTTTCTTTGTTTTCTAATGTGGAATGACAGTGACATCCCAGAGGGACTGGAGCTCTTGCCATTAAGAGAACACAGATATGAAAGAGTTGTTCAATTATGGCAGCCAGGTACTGCAGGCTTTTCCTTAATAGAAGGGTGCGAGCGGGGGGAGGAATCCCTTTGGCTTGGCTTAGAAACCTTCGCTCCGGCTTGCTCAGGTTAATTAAAAAAAGACCTGGAGAACTTCCAAGGCCTCGCTTTTCATTTTTAACAGCTCTCCATCCTGCACACGCACACACACACTGTCGCCGCACCTCTCCCTACACACACCTCTACAACCCGCCAGGCTGGAAGAAAATGTTGCTGTTGTGGAAACGCACGCAGCAGCCTTGGACTTCCAAGGCTGTGTGCACACCACAAACTCAGTGTCTGTTATGGAGGTGCCCCAAATTCTAAAATCAGGAGCAATTTTCCATTTATTTGCATCATGCAAACAGAGAGTAGGAATACCTGCCAGGTCTGGTGACACAGGAAGCATGGAATCATAGAATTTCAGAGCTGGAAGGGACCCTGAGAATCACTGAACCCTGTGGGATGTGATACATAAGTAGCAGTCAAATACAACATTCCTTGTTTTCCTAGAGTGGACACGCAAGGGGATGTTTGATCCAGCCAGTCTGTTTCCTTCTGGGCTGGGACATACTTCCTCTTGCCTGTGACTAGAGGTGAGCGTGATCTTATCTGTGCAGGTAACAAAAGCACAAGGCACACAGCCCTCCTCCCTCTCTCCCCACCTTCTTCTCCATCTTCCTTTTGTTGTGTGAACTGCAGTGACTGCTAGTTTGCAGTCACTGGGATTAACCCCCATATGGGATAGATCCATATGTACATATTTGTAACTAAGTCTGCGTTCTGGGATCCAACTGTGAACAGAATGTGAGTAAGCTACTTTTATATTCTTTAAACAAGATTGTGGCATCCTTATTCTTTTAAGAGAGATATAAGGGAACTTACCAGGTCATTAATATTGAGAGGCTTAAACAAGCCTGCAACCAGCTACCCACTGTGCATTTAAAAGGGGAATGTAAAACTCTGCTAAGTTATAGAACTTGCAAGCACAAGTTAAGGTAAAGGTAAAGGGACCCCTAACCATTAGGTCCAGTCGTGGATGATTCTGGGGTTGCGGCACTCATCTCGCTTTATTGGCTGAGGAAGCCGATGTACAGCTTCCGGGTCATGTGGCCAGCATGACTAAGCCGCTTCTGGCAAACCAGAGCAGCGCATGGAAACGGCATTTACTTTCCCGCTGGAGTGGTACCTATTTATCTACTTGCACTTTGATGTGCTATCGAACTGCTAGATTGGCAGGAGCTGGGACCGAGCAATGGGAGCTCACCCCATCACGGGGATTCGAACCGCCAACCTTCTGATCGGCAAGTCCTATGCTCTGTGGTTTAACCCACAGCTCCACCTGCGTCCCAAGCACAAGTTAGGAAGGATATTAATAAACAATATATCCTCTCCTGCCTCCCTGAACATTCCCACACGCCCAACCCCCTGCAATGCAGGAATAATTCAGCTGTCCCTTACAGGGATCGAACCTGCAACCTTGGCATTATCTACGCCACACACTAACCAACTGAGCTATCTCTCTGGCTCGAAGCTGAGTGTCCCAGCTTTGATCCACCTGGGTCAGCATTGCCCCCATCAGCAGAGGTTTCTGCATGCTGCCTCATCTCATGCTTTCCTGAAATAACAGCAGCAATAGCAAATCCCTACCGTGTGAGGCCTCTCCACCCCAGCAGCAGTTGGTGCCAAAAATATGCCCCCTCAGCACAGAGAGACTCTGTGCAATTTGGGCATCCAGCGGAGCGAGCGCTTTAGCCTTTGCCAAGGCAATGTTTCCTTCAGGGCACTTATTTACCCCAGATTGTTTGCTCCGCTCCACCCGATCATTCCCTCTGTTGGCTCCAGTCCCTTGTGCCACAGCCAGTGGCTATTTATTAATTCCTTTAATTCATTACAATGCACCTAATCGACCATGCTGGAAGGGGCAGGAACAATATGTTAATAAATAAATAAGAAACAGCTAATGAGAAGGCCTGCAGTGTCAGCTCAAAACTCGCAAAACCAGAAGCCCTTCCAGGCTGGGCACCAGTTCAGGACGTGCGGTGCGGTTCTGTCTTCCCTCCAAATGTGTCCTCTCTCTTTTCATGGACTCAGCAGGTCTCTCATAAGGTCATCTTAACCAAAGCTCTGGTCTTGGCTGCAAAAGGAGATGGGTGGAGAGAGCAGCTGTTCCTGATTCAGCCCACCCAAGTGTCCCAGGGGACCTTGGAAAAGGTGGTTCCTTTGGGTCACATTCTACAGCCTCAGTGGGATACCTAAAGGGTGAGGATGAGCCTGAGGTCTCCAGCCTGATTTCTCTGTTGTTGATGTTGTTGGCATCTATCTGTCTCAAGAGACAATGGAGTGCGCCTCCGGGGGTTAGCAACACCAAAGTGACCTCCCTGGGCAGTGTGGATGGATGTCCTGGGCCTCCTTCCTGCAACTCCTGCTTTCTCTGTACAGTGGTACCTCTGGTTGCGAATGGGGATCCATTCCAGAGCCCTGTTCGCAACATGAGCAGAACGCAACCTGCGTCTGCACATCTGCACATGTGCGGGTCGCGATTTGCTGCTTCTGCGCATGCGTGTGATGTCATTTTGAGCATCTGCACATGTGCAAGCAGCGGAACCCGGAAGTAACCCATTCCGTTACCTCTGGGTCGCCGCGGGACGTATCCTGAAAGAACATAACCTGAACCGAACGTAACAAGAGGTATGACTGTACTCTGCGAAATTTCAAAGGGACACATTTAGAATCCACAGCATGTCCAGTCCCTTCATCACTGGGGGAAAAGGCTGTAGCTCAGGGGTAGAGCATCTGCTTTGCATGCAGAAGATCTCAGGTTCCATCACCAGAATCTCCTTGGTAGGGTGGCTGGAGAAAGCCTTTTGTCTGAAATTGATTTATGTACAAAAATATTTATAGGCTGCCACTTCACACACACACACACACAAACACTGAGGAAGTTAACAACAAAAATAAATAAAAACATACAGTAAAAACATATTTTAAAAGTTAATCAATTAACAGTTGTGGAAAGATGTATTCTTAATTGCCTGGCAGAATGGAAAAAGTTTTCAGCAGGCATTTAAGAGTTGAAACAGAAGGCGCCTGCTGAATCTCTGTTGGCAGAGTATTCTGTAGAGATGCATATAGATGCTAGGTGAGGATATATTTATTAGATATTATCCCTCCTTTCCCACATTTGTGAGTTCAACAGAGTGCATCCCTTTGCACCTTAAAATGAATCTTAGAGAAAGAGATGCCGGAACAGAGTTCTGGCGAGTTACGACTGGGGGGGGAAACAAAAAACCTGGGTAAGAGTGAAGAGGAACAAAAGAGGATGTTCCCATGCTGGTAAGGAGAATATTTATGGCTATGCCCTTGCCCTGTCAGGGCACAGTGGGAGTGGCTCTCACCAAGTTCTCTCTAGCAAACCTCCAGGAAATCTCTGTGAGCTTCAGCTCCTATCATGTGCCTATCTAGCAATCAATGAATCGTTGGTTTGGCTGTGCTTTGAATATTCCACAATAGTGGGCTGCTGACACAAAAGGCTCTATTTCTTGCTGTTGCCTCGCCAACTCAGGGAACAACCCATGGTGCTCCTGCAGATGATCTCAGCTATCAAGCAGGAATATCACAGTCCAGGTGATCCCTGAGGTATCCTGGGCCTAATCTGGGAGAGCCACTGCCAATCGGTGTAGAACGGGTGTTAAGTATAATTGCTTAATTTACATTGAAATTGGAGGTATATAATGTGAAGCATGGCTGGAAATTGCCATGAAGTTATAGAAGAGCTTACCACATTCATCATTAATTGGCTTATATCATGGGGCTGCATCTCTGTGGCTCAGTCACCAGGTGATCATTTTACAGTCAGATGAAAGAGAATGCTTTTCAGGTCTATGCATATGCTAATCTAGTAGGCATCCATGTTGGGCACAGAGCCATTTTGTTCTAAGATACTGAAGAGAATGGATGTGTTTTCTCTGTGTCTCCTGCAAAAACAGCCTGAGGCTAAAAGAGATTGCAGTGGCGAAGATACAGAACTTTGGTTTTAGCTAAGAATATAAGAAATTTGAGGGGCCATCCAGAATATGCAATTGGGTAAATCTCCAGGTCTGGATGGACTGACTTAAGATACTATAGATCCCTGAAAGAATGGATAATACAGCCATTAAAAGAAGTTTGTAGTGGAATATTGGAAGGGAAAAGGGTGCCAGAGTCGTGGAAGGAAGCTTACATTACACTTATACCGAAAGTAGAGTCTGAGAAGACACAGCTTAAGAATTACTGCCCCATATCTTTGCTTAATGTGGATTACAAAATTTTTGCAGATATTTTGGCTAAAAGATTAAAAAAGGTACTAGTAGAAGAAATCCATAAAGACCAAGCCGGTTTTCTCCCGGGCGGACACTTGTCTGACAACACGAGGAATATAATTAACATTCTAGAAAAGTTACAAGTGAATATTAATACTAAAGCAATTTTGATATTTGTGGACGCGGAGAAAGCCTTTGACAATATTTCTTGGAGTTTTATGAAGAAAAATCTACAGGGGATGGGGGTTGGTCAAGGTTTTGAATGGTATAGGTGCAATTTATTCAGAACAAAAGGCTAAATTAATTGTGAACAATGTAGTGACGGAAGAATTTAAGATAGAGAAAGGAACACAACAAGGTTGCCCACTCTCCATTGCTTTTTATATCGGTCCTGGAAGTTCTTTTAAACATGATTAGGAGGGACCAAACAGTTAAAGGTATACAAGTTGGAGCTAAACAGTACAAACTGAAAGCATTTGCTGATGATCTGGTATTGACATTACAGGAGCCAGAATCTAGTACCAAAAGAGTACTGGAACTGATCCAAGAATTTGGACAAGTAGCGGGATTTAAGTTGAATAAGATGAAAACTAAAGTTTTAGAGAAAAATTTAACAGTGACAGAGAGAGAAAGGTTTCAGAAGGAGACAGGATTAACATTGGTTAAGAAAGTGAAATACCTAGGAGTTAACATGACTGCTAAGAATGTGAATCTGTTTAAGGATAACTATGGAAAATGTTGGATGGAAGTGAAAAAGGATCTAGAAATATGGTCAAATCTGAAGTTATCATTGCTAGGCCGAATTGCTGCGATAAAGATGAATGTATTGCCAAGGATGTTATTTTTGTTTCAAACATTGCAAATATTAGATAAAATGGAGTGTTTCAAGAAGTGGCAGAGAGATATCTCAAGATTTGTCTGGCAGGGCAAGAAACCTCGAATAAAATTTAAGATATTAACTGACGCTAAGGAAAGAGGTGGATTTGCCCTGCCAGACTTAAAACTTTATTATGAATCAGCCGCTTTTTGCTGGCTGAGAGAATGGATGCTTCTTGAGAACACTGATGTGTTGGACTTAGAAGGCTTTAATAATGTCTTTGGGTGGCATGCATATCTGTGGTATGATAAGGTCAAAGCACATAAAGCGTTTAAAAACCATATTGTCAGAAAAGCACTGTTTAATGTTTGGATAAGATATAAGGATTTGCTTGAGAATAAAACCCCAAGGTGGCTGTCACCAATGGAAGCGAAGGCTCAGAAAAAGCTCAATATGGAGGCTAAATGGCCGAAATATTGGGAAATTTTGGAACAAGAGGGAGACAGATTAAAACTGCAGAGTTTTGAAAAATTAAAAATAGAGTGCGAGATTGGCTTCATTATTATCAGATAATGGAGGCATATAATTTGGATAAAAATTGGCTTCCAGGTGGAAAAATCAAAATTGGAAACAGAACCGTTAGACTCCAAAACTAAGAATTTGTCAAGAATGTATAATTTGCTGTTGAAATGGAATACTCAGGATGAAACGGTGAAATCTGTTATGATTAAATGGGCACAAGATGTTGGACATAACATTATGATGGCTGACTGGGAACAGTTATGGACCACAGGTATGAAGTTCACGGCATGTAATGCCTTAAGAGAGAATATAATGAAAATGATATACAGGTGGTACATGACACCAGTCAAGCTTGCGAAAATTTATCACTTGCCCGATAATAAATGCTGGAAATGTAAAGAGATGGAAGGTACATTCTTTCACCTTTGGTGGACATGCCCAAGGATTAAGGCTTTCTGGGAGATGATCTATAACGAAATGAAAAAGGTATTTAAATATACCTTTCTGAAGAAACCAGAGGCCTTTCTCCTGGGCATGGTCGGCCAATTGGTGCCAAAGAAGGACAGAACTTTCTTTATGTATGCCACAACAGCAGCAAGAATACTTATTGCAAAGTATTGGAAGACACAAGATCTACCCACTCTGGAAGAATGGCAGATGAAGGTGATAGACTATATGGAACTGGCGGAAATGACTGGCAGAATCCGAGACCAGGGAGAAGAGTCGGTGGAGGAAGATTGGAAGAAATTTAAAGACTATTTACAGAAACATTGTAAAATTAATGAATGTTAGAATGATGTTGGAATGAATCTATGTGATTTTAGCAAAAATGTATCAAAGATTTAGGAAAAATAGACTGTTAATTGGTGAAAAGAGGGAAGTAAACTTATATTAAGATCAAGATAAATTTTCAGGATAAAAATTTTGAAGAGAGGGAAAGGATTTGCTGAAATGGATAATTGACTTAGAATACAAAAAAGGGAGGTGTGAGGAGGTCAGGGAAACAAGCAAATGAAAGATAAGTTATGGGAAGGCTCGATTTGTTTTTTTTTGTTTTTTGTTTTTAATTGTTTCTGTTTTTCTGTTTTTTTAATGTGATGTGCTGTTTTGCTATTGTTTAATTTGGTGTTTTTTCTTTTGCCTTTTTGTAAACTTAAAACCTTAATAAATACTATTAAAAAAAAAAAGAATATAAGAAATTTGGAATCTAAATTATTACACCATATTCTGGGACCAGTATATGAATTATGCAACTCAGTGAATGCATGTTTGTTTTATTGTTTTAAGTTAAGTTAAGTTCTGTGAGTAAAGCTTTTGAACCATATTTTTGGACTGGATAATTTTTATCTCAATACCATACACAGCTTTTGTTCATCAAGCGGCTTCCACATGCACAATATTAATAATCTCAATAACAGGGTGGGGTGCCTCCAGCCTTGGGACCAAATGCAGCTCCCCAGGTCTCTTTATCTGTTCCTCAGAAGCCTCCCTGGGTAGGGGGTAACATTCGATTCTGTTCACTTTCAAAGGCAAACTTACCTAATCAGCACTTTCCAGACCAATGTGAGAGCTGGAACACTTTGATCCTTCAAAATCTGCTCTAATGTACACCTGAGTCTGGGAGGTGCTGATCAGATCCATTCATATGGATGGGTAAGACATACAATTCAGTTCACAGTTAAAGGAACATGACCCCCACCCCAAATATCCCTCTTCTACAGTTCCTCCCTGTTCGGATTTTTCAGTGTGATTGCTCATACTTTAAAAGTGCAACCCAAAATGTCCATAGAAGCTTTTATTATGGATGGAGTTTATATGTATGTTTTCAGAGAGCCAAAATGGTCTGAAGAACCAACTGCAGTCACTCAGAGATGGGGTCTGGGAGGCTTCTGCTGGATGCAAAGCAGAGGAGCAAACACTTTTTTAAAAAAGTGCTAATAAGGATGAAGGGGTTTGTTTTTGCTTTCACATACTTTAACGCACAGAAGGACTGGCTCAGAACTACTGGCTGTTGTTTGCAAACATTTTTGGCAGCGTCAAAGACTTCTATTTCACTCTCGCTTTGGCACGCTTGGTGAGAAACTTTGCTCATCGTTCTAGCTACCCCTATTTGCCTGCGGTGAAGTCATCACGCAGCGCAGTCCGAATGCCTGCCACTTGGGAGGCAATGTCACCAATCTGGATCAGAGAACGATGAATGTT